ACAATTAGTCTTCCTATGAGGATCCATTAATAGTTCATTTATGCAATACATTTAGCCCGCCAACTTATAAGGGTTGGGTTAAAGCCAACTCAACTCATTTGTTTTCAATACGTATGGTATGAGTTGTTCTATATTTTCAACTTTATTTTACACACAATTTTTTTTTGGATTGAAAAACAAAATCTATATTTTTTTTGTTCTGAAAGTCAATCACCAGAAAACAAATCAGGTAACGAAAAAATAAAAGGAGAGAAAAAACAGGGGAAACAGGTAAAGCCTACACGGAAAGCGTAGAATCATAGGTGCAACCACTAAAAGATAAACAGATGATTAGTGCAGAGTGCTTATTTATGCCAGAAATGAAGGGTGGAAAACTTTAACGATAAGATAGGTATTTTTGCGGTTTGATATGAATTTGACGTGACTCCATTTTCTTTGATGTGATCGAAAGGCTTTTTTCATGGTGTGTGTAGCAATGTTGGAGAACAAAAAATTATTCAATTCGATGTGTGTGTGATAGAGTTGGAGAAAAGATTCTTGGAGGAAATTGGTTTGTAAACATCATTTATATGTCTAGAGGCTTAATCTATCATGCTGATGTATTAACTAAGTTTGCTCAAACACTTATTCCAAAGGATTATTTCTTTAATCATCTTCTTTCGTTTATTTAAAAAGAGAAAAGGAGAGAGAAATGACCTATTAAATGTGTCTTGAACTTACAGCCTTCAACTCTGAACGGATCATCTTTGTTCAAAAAAAAAAAAAACTCTGAACGGATCATCTTTTAAATAAAAGAAATGGAGAAAAGATATTATTCAATTAAAGAGAACATGTCAGCTTTTTCGTGGGCCCCTTTTAACTGTTTAATCGCATGTTTCAGTCCACTTTGCTAGCTCATATCCATACGTTATGTTGGGATCTCCTTTTTGAGTGCACCCAGATTCTCAAGAATCAGCTTCTTTTGGTTCGTCAAAAAGAAAATAAAATCGAACTGTGTTTTACTGTTTTCCAATCCTTATTATATTTTTTTTTTAATTTCATTTTGAAATTTACTTTCGTCAAGTAATTTTTCGTCCTCTGAATTTAATTTAATTTATTTCACTTACAATTGTTGGGAGTATCAGTCTGTATATGCACATAATGATAAGATCAGTAAATAATAAATTCTGGATGCTTACCAAGATTAATAAGCCACTACTTTGTTTTCAAATATAAGAGAAACTGCTATATTTCTCTTTGTTTTTATTTATAAAAAAAATTACAAGTTTTAAGAAGCATATATTGTTTTTTTTTTAATACCGTTCACCATAAAGCCAATATTTTTACTTCTACAATATTGATGGTATAACTTTTAACATCACTTGTTAGAAACAAAGAACAATCGCATGAAGGTGGGAGAAGAGGATAAATGAGTAAAAAAAAATGACAGAATGACATTGCATTTTATTCAAAATCTCAAGGTTTATATTAATGAATCCTTACTTGTTATTTTATATTAATTATTAAGTTTAATTTTATTGATGTGGAACGTCCTTGATCATCTTTAAGTTAACCCGCATTTGAAGATCCTAATCAAGATCATGCTATGAAGTGAGATAGTTAGCAGTCGGAGGGATTAATTATGAGAGATTTCATTATCATATCCTTTTGAGGTGCTTTGAATATTACCGGAGTGAAAGGCACTGAGCAACTGCCACACTGTGAGTCAGTGACACAGGACGCGCGGTGCCTTCGCCTTGCCTGTCCAAATTCGTTTCTTGTCTATCACTGTTCCTCTGATGGAACCCACTGTTACTCTCCATTGAACGGTCTCTCTGCCCCCCATCAACTTGTCTCGTAGTTTATTCAATTCAATCATTCCCTTCACTGACTTTGCTTTTAGAAAAATTTGGTAGTCACTTTAATAGATTTGGATCCCTCCATTATTATTATTATTGCTCAAAAGAGAGAGTACATATTTGTTTTTGCGTCCTTGGTTTGTTCTCTGAGCAATCTGGGTTGAAAGCAGGCAAAAAAAAAAAAAAAAATAGAGGGTCCAATGCTTTCTTTCTCCTTCCTTTCACTAAAAATGCATGGTAAATGTTACAAGACACTTTTATTGATTTGTCACTATTTGGGCACATGGAGCACAAGATATGATGTATGTTATGTTTATATTTTTATAGTTTGTATCACTTGACGAATTTAGATCCAGCGGTTGTATTTATTATAAGTATTGAATGCTTGTATTATGTGGATCGTTGATATATAGATCAACGATTCATATAAATTTATTTATTTATTAATTTTAAGCGGAGTATGAATTTAAAATGATTAATTTAAATTTTAATTGTTTAAATAATATGTACACTTAATGCCTATATTAATTATAGTTATCAAACCCGAATCCATATCACCTAGGGCTTGAGGCCCATGGATGGAGAAAGGGGGAACTCATTTGGGCTTATTTGAGTCCAACATAGAATGGATGCGAGACATAGTAAAAAGAAAGAAGTGAATGTCTTTTATAAAAAAGTTTTTTAATAGGTTGTATCACTTGGGGCTCGAGGCCCATGAATACAGAGGGGAAAACTCACTTGGGCTTATTTGGGTCCAAGTAGAATGTCATTTATGCCCTTGAGCAAAAATATATAATCATATGTTTATTGTGCCAGGGATAAAAATAGAACATGTTATAAATGAGCACTGAAAAAATGGACAGAATTTTACCAATGGTGGATAAGTTGAGGGGAGGGATTTAATCATTAATTTTCTCTATGACAAAAAATATATTGGAGAAAACATACAGGCTCTCTTTGAGTTCCTTACGTTTAACTTTTTGAAAACATTTTGACATTTTTAAAAAGTTAAGAGCTATTTGGATTAAAATTATAAAATGAATGCACCTCGTAAAAGTATATGTCAAATGTGATTGAATATGGTTTCAGATAACGTAACTATTGATGCCTTTTGAAACTCATATTTGGAACGTAACTATTTATTTTACCTCTTTACCCTTCTGCCTATGTTCTTGATTTTGGTTTGCTTTGCCTCTTTTTTTTTTTTTTTTATGTGTCGCTATATCAAGAGGCCATGGTCAGGAGCTCCAACACAACACATGGCTTCTAGTCCGCATCAAAGCTTGCTCAAGTGTCCCTGTTATAGAGATTGTCATTTTGTTTAACTTTTCTTTTAAAGTGCACTGTTTTGTGTTATTATTGTTAATATTTAAATCAAACATTCAATTATTTTAGTTTTTATTTTAAATTTAAATTAAACCTACTTGGCTCTGTGATATTATGAGCACGTAAATAAGAAAAAATGCCATGTGAATAAGCATGCAAATTTAACATATTATATTTATACAATAAAAATTATATATCACCATCAATCAATGTCTTTTGTGTTGTTATATATTCAAAAGTATAAATAATCATTAATTCAAATAATTTTTGATTTATCAAGTTTAAAAAATTATATTCAAACATAAATTTTATTATAATAATTAAATTTTAATAAATTAATTTTTTTAAAATGAACTTTTAATAAAATGAAAACCAAACGCATGTAGTACCAATTGTCCATGTGCCAATGTGCTGTAATACAGAACGGATTTTAAAAGCATCCTTAATACGTTAAAAGCTGCTGCTTTATTACTCTGTCTCAATCTCCGATCACACCAAACGTGGGCTTAATTGGGCTCCGAGCCCGTTTTAATGAGCCTAGTTCCGCACCTGACCGAGCCCATAATGAATCATAGAAAACTGTTCTAAGCTACTATATCTTGAATGCAAATAATTATTTCAACCTTTAAAACTTGATAAATAGGTGTATAACCTCTTAAACTTTCCCATTTATGTATATACTATACCTTAACTTTTTCCCAATTATGTCATTATTTTTATTAACGGAATACAGTATGTTAATGATCACATATCCCTTTAAAATTAACCTTTTTTTTTACACATGACCCTCGTAAACTTTAAGCGTTATAATAAGCTACAGTGTATAAGTATAAATATAAAAGTGTAGACTTTGGAGTTTAGTGTAAACTTTTCAAGAGACTAGAGAGGTTATTAACACATAAACCAACTTCAAGGAATTATGCATAATCTAGCCACCAAAATAAAAACTAATATCGCAATACATGATAGATTAAGGAAAACTCATTTTATTTTTGGAAGATGCCACTCACTGCTAATTTCATATAGTGAAATTCTTGTATGCACCTGAAAAGATGTATTATTTGTGGTATATTCAATTACAATACTCTAAGTCACTTAATTTTAATCCTATATCTAGTAGTTATTTTAATCAAATTTATAAAAATATCGAGAATTATGCTTCAAAAATAAATAAAATATAATCAAGCAACTGTTTTGATTACGATTAAAATGGACAATTTCAGACATTCTAATTAAAAAGATAACAAATAATGTGGCGCTCTCAATGCATTCAAGAATTTATCTTTTATATAGCTGGAATAATGCTTGCTATTTAGCTTGGCATCATTAGATTAGCCTATTTAGTAAATTGGTAAGACCCAAACTAATTTAGAATTATTTAGAAGCTTTATATATATATATATATATATAGGATTGTTTATAATTTTTTAAAATATATCTTTACATTACACCATATTTTAATATTATTTAATTCAATTCAAGCTATATTTTTAAATTGCACTCAGTCTATTTTTAAATTAAAAAATAAACTATAACATATTTCATTGTTTTTTATTATAAACAAAACAAAAAATTCTAAAAAAATATTAATTATATTTTTTTCAAACAACATAAAAATTATATTTTTTCTAAAAATCCTTCATAAATGAATAATATTATTAAATTAAAAACAAGTAAATATTAATTACTGGAATATTTTAGTGTGTGTGTGTATTATTTTAAGACATAAAGTTACTAGAATTAGTTAATTTTCTTAACCTATAGCATGTGAATGTGTTCAAATTCTCTTTATATTTGAAACTAAATGAGTAAGTTGTAAAATGACTTCGACGCGGTTAGGTTTTTACTTTTGGTTTTGGCATTATCCTCTTTGATCTTCGCCCTCCTCCTCTCCTCGGCTTTTCCTTGCATTGCATTCTGAGACTCGAACAAGAACCTGAACCTTCAGATCTCCTGCCGTCCTAAGTGCTCGGTGATCGAATCTCACCATCTCCTCCGTGCTAGCACTCGGCACCGTGACTAGCTCTTCCTCTCAAGCTCTCATCGAGCCCTCGGAACTTTGCTGCTGTTCTCTCCATTGTGTCTCCTATCTTGAGGTGCTCCTCTGTCCTGTTACTGTTTTTCAAGATGAAAATTGTGTTTAATTTGGTGCCTTTCGCACTGGGCCTATATCGGCTTAAGCATAGTGTTTCATTTTTTTAGCCAGCGTGGCTTTGAGTTGAGCATAGTGTCTTACCTCATTGGTACATGTCGTATTAGATTAGGTTCATCTCAAACCCTTTAAGTAGTTCTGTGCAGGAATTCTCAGTTTAATAGTTAATTTTTGTTAAACATTTTACCTCACAGGCCCAATCTATGGGAAACTCTGAATCTTTTATCTCTTTGTAAAATTTTTGTTACTCGTTGGGTTTCATGCTGGTGCCGAATTCATCGTTAGAGCTCGTAAACTAACAGCTCCAAATGCTTGATTGCAGCAGAAAGAAATGGCGATTTTTAGAGTTGCAGCTAGATCGTTAAATGGCTGTTTGTCGCGCCAATTACATCAGACTAATTTTCCAGATGTCTCTCAATATGGTCAAATATGGGTACTTAAAATTACTTCACATCTTTTGCTTTCTGCGGTTCTTTGTCTGTCAGCTTTTGTTCATTATCCTTCTGATTTTCTTCGATTATGTCAATGATTTACCCAAAAAAAAAAGGTTTTCACTACAATAAATGAATCTGTTTAGATTTGGAATCCCCCCTTATTTTGACTCCTGATAGTCTGATCAGAAGCAAGCTTTCCTCTACTTCAACAAGTAATCAAGATCACATTCCTTAACTTTCCTGGAACTAGGATTTTTCAATGCTTGTTTTTTCTTTCTTTCTAATACTTGTTCATCAATCCTTTCGAACTTGTTGAATGTTTCAGCAGGAAATGGACCTAATGACCAGCAGACTAATAATTCTGCTGAGTCTGCTGAGGAATTTGGGCGTCGGATATTTGGCAATAATCCTAGCAGCAATTCCAAAGTTGATGCTCTTTTCCAAAAGCTTGATGATCTGGGTGGGGGTCGTAGCAAGTCAAGTTCTAGAACTGAGATGTTGAATGATCTGGGTGAAGGTTTTGACACATTAACTGATGGAATGGATGGAAAACTGGAGAAGGCAGCCAAATACTTTGAATATGATTCTGAGGAAATAGATGAAGATGGTTATTCTTTTCGATATGATATGAGTTTTGGGCGAGCTTCAACATATAATATTAAGGTATGTATTGCTGCCTTAATTTACATTGATTCAAGATTTCAATGTCTTTTTGTGCCTTTGTATTTGTTATGTGCATTATATAGTTTATTTTTGGCCTGACTTGATATGTATAATTCACCATATGTCCAAGTGGGAACTTATTGTTTATATTTTGCCCAGCCTACTTTCCCTTATGTCTAACATAATGTAAATTTCTCTTGGAATTTATTTTTGACATGGTGATATATCAAAAATAATGGAAAATTTTGATTTTTTTTTTCTGAAAAAATTTTATATGCTGGATCATTAAAGAGAAAAGGAATCATTTAGAAAAATAACTTGTTTTTACTTTAATTTTTTTTCTTGAAAAGCTATGTAATCTTTATAGAGAATGATTTTATGTTTTTTAAGGGCATAGTTTAGAAAATTGGATCAAACTAGTTGGTTGGACCAACGAACTGGTGAATTGAATCATGGATTTGGTACAGTTGTGAGTTGACCCTGAAAATATGTTAGAAAAAACATATCAGACCGGTAAAAATTGTAACAATTGGTTGGTTTTGCACTGAATCATTTATAAATTCCTCACTCTCTTTCTTCTCATCCGAATCTTAATTTTGGATTTTTCTAATAGAGATCTACGATGTTTAATGAACTCTAGTAAATCAATTTCACATACATTTGATCTCACATGTTAAATACTTAAAGTCTTTAACTAGTTTTTTATATTTTGAAATGTTATTTTACAATATATGTAATAAATTTATATTTATACTTTTGATATACTACTGTGCATTCTGTTTTGTTTGTTTTGGAGTTGCTAAAACTTGTCTTTGTTTATTATAATATTAAAAATTGTTTTAAAATACATCAAATGGGTTGTGTAATATCTTCTACACAATGGGAATAGGAAAGCTTTTGCTAAATCGTAGAAATCACTGAAAACTTATCTATATGCATGAGAAAACACATTATTTAAAGCTAGCAATGATCAGGCATGAGACTGTGGCAGATGGCTAACAATTTCCATTTTTTAAATAAATCTTCTTCTATTGTTTTATTTTAAGATATAAGTTTTCTGATCTTTGCATTTCATTTCTTCATGCAGGATCTTGATCTTACAAAACCAGCTGCAACAAAAATTGCCAATGACGATGAGTTTGCAGTAACCACTGAAGAAGTTCTCAGAAAAGCAGATTTCAGGGTCAGCGCTTATGAGTTCATTTGTAGTAGTCTGCTATTTAATCTCTATAATAACTAGCCTGTGTATATTACAGTATTTCATATTAGTTATGAGCATAGCTACTGGATATGTCTACACTGCAACAAAATGGTGACTTCCTTGTTGCATGCATTAAGGGAACTGAACTTTCTCCCTCCCCTCCTTCAGTAAAGTAAATAATATCGATAAGTTACTTGTAAAATAATGATATGGCTGCTTAGGGATTTTTACCAAAATTTATTTGATAGGGAATAAGGCATCAGCGAATAATAAAGGAAGTGAAGACATCCTATATATTTTTATTATTTTTAAAATGTTGTAAGGTGTTCCACTCCATCAGCTTTGAGACAAGAAGATGCCAACTCAACCTTTTCCATAGACCTTTGATTTAGATAGATTGTACACTGACTTAATCATGATGCAGAATTGTCCTTTCTGTTACTTTGGTTCGTTAAATTCACTCTAATAAATGTGCTTTGTATTGTAATTCCTTAGTGAGTCGTCCACGTATTCTTTTTTTCAAGTCATCATTCGCTTATAAGGAAATTCTGTTAGTGTCTTATGTAAGGGCAGATAGAGGTGACTGGTGAGGTAAACTTCTGGAATGTTATTGAGACATTTTTGGACCCTGTCATCCAAACTTCTTTCAATTTAGGTTTTGACTGTTCTGGTCAAGGTTGATTTACACCTGTTTCAGTCTCAAGTGAAGCTGTGATTTGCATTTGTTTTCTATCATGAACAAAATTGTCCTGCTTAAGCTATTTCTGGGTTGGTGCTTACTGTCAATGTTTTGTGCAGAACGTAAGATTCCTTGCAAACTTCATAACACCAGCTGGAATCATTATCAAGAGGAGCCAGGTAAAATTTAGAGCACTGCTTGGCAGGAGGCTGTCTGTGGTTGTAGGGATCGGATTTTTAAATCATTGATCAGCATCATTCTCATCAAACCCTTCTTCTCCTGTCCTTTGCCCATCCTACCGATCAGTGTCTAAGCAGAAAATCAATGTGATGAACTTATGCTAAAGGTTGAGATCACGCTGACTGCTTTTTTTCTTTTAAATTGAGCAGACTGGCATAAGTGCGAAGGCTCAAAGGAAGATCGCCAGGGAGATTAAAACTGCACGAGCTTTTGGGTTGATGCCCTTCACAACAATGGGGACGAAGGCATTTATTTTTGGTAAAACTATGGAGGATCTCGATGATGATTACGTGTCTCGGAGTTATGATACCTACATGGGCGTTAATATGGAAGATCCTTGAGTCAGAGATATGGTTATAATGTGAGGTTAAAGTAACCTCCGTTGCTCGACATGACTTTCTAGGGAAAAATATCCTGCCCCTTCCCTCTTCCTCAACCCAAGAGACAGCTTTTTTCAGGGAATTTTGATAAACGGGCACAAGCTGCTTGTGTATTTATTTGTATTGTTTATTAAAGCCAGCCGTTGACTTTGTTTGAGAATTTGTCATGGTTCAGCTTCTATGTAAATTCAGGTCGGGTCACAATGTGAATGCAGGCTTTTGGCATGTCATCGCCTGTGATCAATCTAGAAGCAGGCTGTCCGTCTTTCAGTGAATATAGTTTATGATATCTTTTTCAGGCTGTTATTTATTTAGTCTGCATATCTTTAGTAGATTAAGGAACTTCTTTCATTTTCTGTTGTGTTATTTGTTCTTCTGATATTGATTAGCTCGAGTCTGTCTTTGATGTCCGCCCAACGCATCAGCAGATTTCACAACCATGCTTTGTTCTTGACTAAGGTGCAAATGCTGGGTCTAATTTTTTGCTAAATAATCTTGCATGTCTTGGTTTGATCATCACAGTTGCATGCTCCATGGTGACCGAAATTTTTGGGAGGCATTTTTTTGGATGGAAAAAAATAGAATGAGATAGTTAAAAGTTTTGTATTTACTGTTTGAGATAATTTTTTAAAAGGAAGAAAAATAGTTTGAAATAGCTCGCTGTTCTGAAATTGACATAATGTTTTGATGTACATAATTTTATTACAGAATTATCTCATTCTTTTCACTTCCTCTTGCTCTTTCACTTTATCTCATTCTAAAATTGAAAAAAAAGCAAGATTATAACTAATTTTTAAATATGTTAATTTTATAATAATTCTTAATAATGATTAAATAAAATAATTCATTCTTCCCATAAAATTTCCAAAATATGGAATGTGCTTTTTCATCTTGTTCTGTCTCATCTCACTCCATTCCATTTTACAAATGATATACAAATTTTTTGGGGTGTTGGGGATATTTAAATGGAGTTGTTGTAACATCTCAATTTAAATTTTAATAGTTAATTTGGGTTAATAGAAATTTTGAAAAATATTTAGAGGTAAATAAATTAGTAGAAAATGATTATTAAATCTAACTTAGGATATAATTCTAAAAAAAATAATAAATAAAAAAAATAATAAAAAAAAATATTATTAAATTATTATTATTATTATAAAAAAACAAAGAAAAGGTGTAAAACAAGAAAGAGAAAAACAAGGAAACTTTCGGCCGCCGCGCATGAACAGTAAAATAAAATAATAAAAAAAAAGAAGGAAAGAAGAGAGAGAAAAGAATAAAAAAATGTGTGGGACCCACTAAATTTTTATAAAACTCACCCGTTTCCTTTCATTTCTTCAATTCTTTTCCTGCGCGCGAGTTGAGGCGGAGAGAAGCGAGTTGCCGGTGCGAAATATCTAAATTTTTAAGGTAAGAGTTTTTAATAGGATATTTAGGGTGTGATTTTAAGCTTTTAAGACTAAGTAAGTGTTCTAAAAATTTTTCTTAGTCATCCTTCTTCTTTAGTTTCTGAGTTTGTAGTGGTAGAAAATTTAAGATCTGGAAGAGGGATGAATTTATGTTGAATAAATATAGTTTTTGAGGTTGTCAGTAGTATAATAAATGTTCTAGAGTATAAATTTGTTGATGATCTTTGAATCTGTGGCTTATGGATCAAATTCTAAACTAGATCTGAAAATATATGTTGATTTATTGAGGTTTAGAGGATTATTTGGGATGAGAAATGAATTATTATGGTTATAGGATTATGATTCTAAGCTAAAGACTTAATTTTTAATTTTTGAGTATTTTAGGTACGAATTTATAAAATAAAAAGAAAATTTTGATAATAGAAATTAGTTTAAAATTTGATTTTTAGATTATCAATGTTTATTGATAATTAAAAGAGGAGTTAAAAATTTTACTTAATAGTATTAACTATAGATTTGTATTAAGATTGAAATTAGGAATTATATTATATTTTTAATTCTATTATTAGAATTATTTTATTAGTTTCAAAAATTGAAACTAATATTTATAAATAATATGTTATTTGTAGATTGTATTACTGGTGAAGATTGTGGTGAGAGAGAAATTTTAAGGAATAATTTATTGAAAAAGCCACAAGGTAACCATGCTTTTAATTTATGATTAGTGTTACTTCATGTTAATTGGGTGATTATTGAGAAAATTATGAATTTTTTTTTATTGTATATTGTGCAATATTATTATTATGAATTTGTTTGACTATTGTGAGAGGTGTTGGGAGACTTGCTATTGTTGTTGTATTTATGTGCCACGTGGTATGCCCCTATTGGAGCTCAATAGGTGGTTTGTAAGGGCTCGGGCTAATCTACCTTTGGCCGGGTAATTTAGCACCGAGTGAGGGCTACGGCTCGAGGTTAATGGAGGGATATAAGGATGGTTGTTTGTGTGTATTGTAATATTTTATATATTTGTTGGAATTATATTATTTTTAATTCTCACTTAGTAAGCACACATTAACTGTTTGTATACACTATCATAAATTGGCTTTGGTTATTGGGACTTTTGAGTCTCATTATGTGGTTAACAATTTTCAGGAGAAGAGCCACGAGTGACACGTGGAGGAGTCCCAGAGGCTTAGTGGTATAGATCCACTGTCTCTTTTGGGTATTTAATTTATGATTTATAATGTGTTATATTGCCAATATTAGGGCTTTTTGTTTATTGTCAATTATATGAATATATAAATGTAATCATGCCTTTCAAACTATTTCTATTTTTAGTACAATTTGGATGACTGTAATTTTAATATTTGGTTTACTTTGGATTGGTTAAAATGGCATGATTATAAGGCCAAATAACTGGTTGTGTTGAAAATTTATTAAATTGCTTATTTTACTTGTTGGGAGTATAAGGATGGACAAATGTGATTTAGTTTACTTGTTGGGAGTATAAGGATGGACAAATGTGATTTAGCCTAATGGCATGTGGGAGGTAAAAATTTATCTGAAATGTTATAGTGTGTGAGTTGAAGCCAATTATAAAATATTTTATATTGAAATTATTGATATAAAAATGTGTTGGGTGGCTGTAACCCAACTATGGTTGAGTTAAATTATTAAAAAAAAAAATTTTGGTGTGTTACAAATTTTGGTATCAGAGCTACATGTTTCAAATTCTTATAAATTATGAAATTACTATACATTAACCTAGTTTATTGGCAATATACATTATTAAATCATAATGCTTCTCCATTATTTTTCTTGTCTTGAGATTAGTGTTAACTTAATTATGTGACTTCCATCCTTTAGGAGGGGAGAGATGGTGTCTAAAATTAGGAGAGGTGGCGAAATTGCCGGTGATTCTATAGAGCTAATAGGAAATGACATACCTTCACTGCCACAACCGGAGCCCATACAGCAACAAATGGGGCAGGGCGAGCCTATACAGTCATAACTAAGGCAGGATGAGCCAACTATGAGGCAAATGATGGATTTACTATATAATCTTAGTGACCGCATGAAGAGACAAGAAGAAGAGTTGGCCGCTTTAAGACAATATAAGGAGAATTCCAACCGAGAGGGAAATGGCCAACAAGAAGGAAGCCATACCAAGGTATTAAATGCGAGCCAATCTGCTGATGAAGGCTCACCTCCCTATTCTCACCATGAGACTAGTCCGAAGAATGTGAGTCTTCACTCTGAGCAACAGACATCCACGATCACAAAGATCTAGAATACTTTTCGTAAGTTTAATCCTCCTACTTTCGATGGAAATCTTAAGCCAGCGGTGGTTGAAGAATGGATAGATCAATTGGAGAGTATTTTTCGTATGGTTGTGTGCACTTCTAATCAAAAGGTGCAGCTGGCAATATTCCTACTACAGAAGAGTGCTAAGAAATGGTGGGAAACATCAGGACCGAAGGATGATTCCTCTCTTACTTGGGAAGATTTTAAAGCCATATTGTTCGAGAATTATTTTCCTACTGCACTGAGAGCAGAAAAGGAGGCTGAGTTTCATGCATTTCGTCAGGGTGATCTAGATGAGGATGAATTTATTGAACAATTCTCAGAATTATCTAAATACTCCACTTACCTCCAAAAACATGAAGATACGGAGTGGATGGCTGAACGATTGCTAGAGAAGGCGAGGCCTGATTTAAGGGAACAGTTAGCCCCTTTTGAGATCAAGACATTCAGTGAGATGTGCAATAAGCTTCGAATAGTTTCTCGGAGGAAGAGAGAAGCTAGATTAGAAGCTGATAGAGAGAGGAGGAAAGAACCTCATGGGAAACCCCCTATCCACACCAGACCCATTGGTGGAGTAGAGAAGAGGAGCAGTCAAATCTTTGGAGGCTTTAGAAATCAGAAGAAGAAGGGCTACTACCATAAGGGCCAAAGCTACAGAGGGAATCAGAGTGGGAGTCAGGGGTCCTATAGGAGCCCAGCTACCTTTAATCCTACTTCCGGTGCTGCTAGTAATCAAGCATGCAGTAAGTGTGGGAAGTTTCATTCTGGTGATTGTTGGGTTTGTTACATCTGTCAGAAGCCTGGTCATATTGCTCGATTCTGCTATTAGAACCAAAATAGGGGTAATGATCAGAGACCTACAGTACCAGCACGAATGTATGCCCTCTCTGGGCCAGAGGCTGCTAACAACCCTAATGCTATCAGAGGTATAATCCGAATCCTTGATAATGATGTTTGTGTTTTGTTTGATTCGGGTGCTACACACTCTTTTGTGTCTGATGAATGTGTGAAAAGATGTAAATTGCCTGTGTGTACCTTACCTTTTGATGTGAAGATTTCTACTCCTGCTGGTTTGACTGTAAGGACTGCTAAGGCATGTCTAAATGTAGAGGTTGAGTATGAGGGTCGAAAGACCACCATAGACCTCATTTGTTTGTCTTGTCTGGGATTGATGTTATCGTGGGGATGGATTGGTTGTCTGCAAATGGAGCTGTACTTGATTGTCAGAAAAAGAGTGTGTCACTTTCAACTGGTGTGTCTAAGCTCAAGTAGAACAGTGTATAAGAAAGGGCTGTCAAGCTTTTATGATTTTCTTCTCAATCAAGGCAGAGATTGAAGAAGGTGTAGATCAGATTCCAGTAGTGAGAGAATTCCCTGACGTCTTTCCTACTGAAGTGATCGGTTTGCCTCCAGAACGAGAGGTTGAGTTCTCGATTGAACTCGTACCTGGTACGGGGCCTATTTCTAAGGCACCCTATAGGATGTCTCCATCGAAGTTAGCTGAGTTGAAGAGACAAATTGAAGAGTTGTTAGAGAAGGGGTTTATCAGACCGAGTGTATCACCATGGGGGTCACCGGTATGTTTGTGAAAAAGAAAGATGGAAGCCTTAGATTGTGTATTGATTATAGACAATTGAA